CTAGGTGCGTGGGCTTCAGTAGTTGTGGCACACGGGCTCAGTAGTTGTGGCTTGCAGGCTCTAGAGTGCAGGCTCAGTAGTTGTGGTGCATGGGCTTAGTTGCTCTGCGGCATGTGGGATCTTCCAGGACCAGGGCTTGAACCCGTGTCCCCAGCATTGGCAGGCAGATTCTTAACCACTGCGCCACCAGGGAAGTCCACAATATACTTTCAAAGCTCAACTCAGGGTAAGTCCTACCCTTAGGAAAGTATTTTTAAGGGAACCCACAGACAGCACTTACTCTTGTTTTATGATATTTGTACGCATCCCTCCTCAGGGCTTAAAAGTGTTTCTACACAACCCCAAGCAAATCTCTTGCTTACTTCTTTGAAGTCCTCAGATACAAAGTAATCATCCTTTTTTGTTTGTTTGTTTGTTTGTTGCTTATTGCCTACATCCTCATCACCATCCTGATTTTAATACATACTATTCAGATCTCATCAGGCCATTTATCTAGTTTGCCAAATGCTGAAAACAGTGATTCTTTTTGTAAAAGTTTCTCTTTAGTCCCACCATTATGGAATTATGGAAAACTGCATTCTAAGTCTACACCCCTTTGGAAATAATTTTTGCTAACCCATGTGAAATCTGCCTGGTAAAATTGCAGGAAGCTGAGGCGGAGGTGGGGTGTTCCCTTCAATTATGGCACTAAAGTCCCAGTTTGAAAGAGCCAGATTTTAATTATATCACAAGGACAATTTAGAGATTATCTCAGTAAATCCTATGACTGAATGATGGACTTAAGCATTACTCTGCAGAGAAATAAGTTTTTCCTATAGGGGAGGAAAAACTGTTTTTCCTTCTACCCCTCTTAGGTTCATTGCCCTGGGCCCTGTAAATTAGATTGACAAAAGACTGATTAACAAGAGAAAAACAGAGCAGTTTATTAACATGTGCACTGTGCATACACATGAGAGCACTCAGTGATGAGCAACTCAAAGAGGTGGTTAGAACTTGGGCTTATGCCATCTTTTTTTTTAAAAAAAGAAGGTAAGTGCTGAGTTAATAAAGTTTGTTTTTCCTCTGGTGCCATCTCTGGGCTATTAGGGTATAGAGTTGTCTCCAGTGATTAACTTCTGTCCTTCCAGGAAGAGAAAGGAGGAGAACTATCTTTACAAATTTATGTCCTGCTTTTAGGCAAATAGGGAAAGTGTGAAGAGCTCTCTTTGAAGCTGCTTCTTCTCAGTTGCCTTCAGTTCAAAATAATCCTTATGCCAAAGTGGCATATTCTGTACCCTTCATTCCCATCGAAGGAGACTGTGGGGCATCTTAGAACCGTATGAAATGGAAACAGACACTAGTTATTTTTAAAGAAACCATGTACACTTTTATATAATATTTTTACCTCAAAGAAGGCTTTTGAAGCGATTACAAATTCAACATGGCTAACTCAAGTGAATGATGTTGTTTTGTCATTTGAAACATTAAAATCAAATTTTGCCCCAAGGGCTTTTTTGAGTGTGGAATGCTAAGCAGTTTCTAAATAAAACAAATATCTGGGTCCACCATTTTCCAGTTATTATTTTCTCTCCTCCTTTCACTGACATTCTTTTTTAGTAAATGTTCTTCAAACTGTGTTTCAGAAAATATGTATAATGGTTCCAACCACCTTCATCTGTGGCTATTTTCCTGGCTCAGTTGTACAATACGGTAGTGCCCCCTTCTCTGCAGATGGGGGATATGTTCCAAGACCCCCAGTGGATGGATGCTTCAAACCATGAATAGTACCGAACCCTATATATACTATGATTTTTCCTATACATACATACCTGTGACAAACTTTAATTTATAAATTAGGCACAGTAAGAGGATATGTGAATTGCCAGGATCACTACTCTTGTGCTTTGGGGTCAATATTAAGTAAAATAAGGGTGACTTGAACACAAGCACTGCAATATCATGACGGTGGATCTGATAACCATGACAGCTACTACGTGACTAACAGACAGGATACGCTGGACAAAGGGATGATTCACATCCTGGGTAGGACGGAGCAGACGACAACAGATTCCATCATGATGCTCAAAATGGCACACAATTTAAAACTGATGAATTGTTTACTTCTGGAATTTTCCGTTTAATATTTTCAGACCTCAGTTGACTCGAGGTAACTGAAACCACGGAAAGCAAAACCACAGATAAGGGGAGGGACTACTGTATTGTGGTAAAGGATTCAGCTTCAACAATAGTGACTGGAGAAGAAAGGTAAAAGAAGATGCTCACTGAAGCATTTTACTAGAAAATTAGCTGTAAAACACGTTAGTATAGAAATCACATGCAAATTCATTAAAATAGTGTTAAAAATTCAAGTCCCCCTCTGCCAACCGCCCCCTTTTTTTAAACCATTTTAACCGCATATAAGTATATAGTCTGTGGTATTAAGTACATTCACATTATTGTACACTCTCACCCTTTGATGAAGAATCTAGTTCATCTTTGTACAAATCAATTCTGCAGGAGTAGAACAATCCAAGAAAGAAGGGGAGGGGAGGAGAGGGGAAAGAAAAGTAAGAAGGAAGGTAGGTAGGAATAAAGGTAAGAAGGAAGGGAGGGAGGAAAGTCACGCCGAGAAGCTTTCACCTTCCCTTGCACATGTAGGTAGAGGGTCTGACAGCAGTGAGCTCTCGTAGCTGGAAAAAGAACCATGGCAGTGCTGCAGGTGGGATTTCAAAGACTGGAAAATATGACTAGAGCTGTATTGTGCCCTATTTTTGGACCCAGGCCTCTGCTTTTTCACATTCAAGGCTTGAAGTCTGTTGAAATTTTGCATGGCTAAGAAGGCTGCAATTGGGATGGTTTCCCCTTCGCCAGTAGCAAGCCATTACTTAGCACCATCTATGTGCAGGATAAACAGGCAATGACAAAGTCAAGGGTCTTACAGAAGCAAAGGATACGCACATTAATATATATCACAAATTAATGGTAGCACAAGTTTTGAAGATGTGTTGCTATAGGAATTCATAAAAAGGAGTAACTTCTGCAAGCTAGGATGATTTTTGCTTAATTGTTACAGTGACTCTGCATTCACTTAGTTCAAATTTTAACTGAAATCAAATGTCAATAAAAATCTCACTTTATGTGCAGGATTTGAAATGATATTATGCACAAAAAAGGGCAAGGATTACGTAATTTCAAAGCCAGTCTGAAAAACCGTTTTTATTAATGCTACGTGATGGCTGCATTACAGGTAGAAGAGACATATCCAACATTCTTTGTCAGTCTCCTGGGAAAATAGGTCTTGAATTATGAGAGCTGTGGTTAGTGAGAGCGCCTCAGGAATACACTCCGCTGTTAAATGCACTGCCCTTGTACTCTAAAGCCTCTGATGTTCTTGAGGGCAATTGGACTGACTATTCCGCATTGTTTTGGTGGAAGCATTGCTACTCTAGCATAATGGAACAGACTTTCCTGTGGCTGAAATGGAAATATCTTGCAAAATGTAAACCTCTTGTATGAAAGCTAAATTCCCAGGATCTCTCTCTAGTGGCCAAAGGTGACAGATCATGGCTTGTGGAATGTATCTCATCTTCACTTCCCGTGAATGAATGAGACCAATGTTGGAATTGCAAATAGAAGCCCCACATTGATAAGATTGAGATATATTGCTAAGACTTTGCAAAATATATCAAGAAAGTGGTCAGTGGTTTAAAATGATGGCTAACCCTACCCAGAAGCATGGGAAAATGCATTAAATCCAACCATTCACTAGTCTGTTCATTATTAAAAACCTTCACAGGGTGAAACTGAGTCGACCTGAAGACTACACCATAGGTCTTTCTGTCTAAATTCAAACAGTGACTTTAACTGACTATTTTTGTAAATTAAGATCATCTGGCAGGTACATGAAAAAATGCTCAACATCACTAATCATCAGGGAAATGCAAATCAAAACCGCAATGAGATATAACCTCATACCTGTCAGAATGGCTATTATCAAAAAGACAAAAATAGTGTTGGTGAAGATGTGGAGAAAAGGGAACCTCTGTGCACTGTTGCGGGGAATGTAAATTGGTGCAGCCACTATGGAAACAGTATGAAGCTTCCTCAAAAAATTAAAATTAGAACTACCATATGATCCAACAATTTCACTTCTGGGTATTTATCTGAAGAAAATGAAGACACTAATTTGAAAAGATATATGTACCCACATGTTTATTGCAGCATTACTTACAATAGCCAAGACATGACAACAACCTATGTCCAACAATGGATGGATGGCTAAAGAAAATGTGATTTTACATATAAATTATATATTATATATATAATGGAATATTATTCAACCATAAAAAAAGAACAAAATCTTGCCATTTGTGACAACATGGATGGACCTTGAGGGTATTATGCTAAGTGAAATAAGTCAGACAGAGAAAGACAAATGTCATATGATTTCACTTATATGTGTCATATGGTTTTACTTACACGTGGAATCACATATAAATATATAAATACATTTAAACAACAACAAACAACTGGGCTTATAGATACAGAGATTGGATTGGTGGTTGCCAGAAATGGAGAGTTGGAGAAGTGGGCAGAATGGGTGAAAGGGGTAAAAAACAAAACAAAACATCATTTGGGTTTGGATTTATTTGACAGTGCCAACCCGAAAGCAATTTTTAGACTGATTCAGCAGACATTAAAAGATGTGTGGGAAAGTGGAATCTGTTAAGCAACTTAGAATGGAGGAAAATAATAGTGTAAGAGATTGCTATACTTTTGACATTTTACATTTAAATCACATTATAAATAATATGCATCGATTACTTGATTCAAGAACTCAGAACTTTTCATAATGGATTTGAAGCACAAAGTACAGTATTTATAGTCAGCGTGAAGTCTTTGCTTTCAATGATGGTTATGACCTTTGGGCCAGAAAGCAAGTTGAGCTCCGCGCTGTGAAGAGTTATGTCATGCCAAGGCAGCTGACCACTCTTTCTTTCCTATCCTCCACTGTCTTGCAGACCAGATGATGTGCTCCTGCATCGCACGCATGATGAGATTGTCCTCCTGCATTGCTTCCTCTGGCCCCTGGTGACATTTGTGGTGGGCGTTCTCATTGTGGTCCTGACCATCTGTGCCAAGAGCCTGGCAGTCAAGGCAGAAGCCATGAAGAAGCGCAAGTTCTCTTAAAGGGGAGTCGGCTTATGGGAAGCAAAGCACAGAAGCTGCACTCACCTGCACACATCTACCTGCAGAGCCTGCTTCCTGGCGCAGGAGATGGAAGGGGCTGTGAGAGGTCTCTGAGAGGCTCCCCCTCAATGATAGCAGAAACAGGCACAACCGGAAGGCTTGGAACCTCATAGATTGTTTTCCATGTGTTGTAGCGATGGCTAAAGGGTCAAGCTGTAAGGAGTATCTGTTTCAGAAAATCCAATAGAAGTTAATTTTCTTCGGGAAGTAACAGTATATAATTGTACAGTGTAGAATACAAACCACTATGATTTATGCTACTTAAAAATATTAAAAGAGAGTTGTCTGTGTTCTTTTCTATTTTCTTTTTTATGCTTAGAACACCAGGGTTTTAAAAAAGGGTCTTACGGGTTTCATTTGATTTTGCTGGATTAAACTTTTACTTGGAGACAGGAATTCCTGCACAAGTCTTGACCTCACAATGTAATCCCCAGTTTCCACTATTAAAGAGTACCTTTTGACTCCTGCTTGAAAAAGGAAAACTGCACTGTTAACGCAGACTCCAGTCACTCCTGTGACTCTTCAGCAAGGAACCCTCAAAGATTGGGAAAACATTCTCCCCACTCGCCTTTGTTTTTCACCAGGTTATTTCTTAAGAGAGGGAGATGATTCTGAACAAGGCCTGTCCTAGCTCTAAGAGGACTGTGCCTCTTTGTTCATCTGTTCAGGTTATTTTTGATGGATTTTATCTCTGTGCAGTAGAATGTACACGATGTGAAGGACACTTTTCAGCTTAGTTAAATGCTATTTTCATTTCTTTTTTCTTTTAGGTCAGAAAAAAAATAGTCAAAATCAGCTAAACATTTTATTATATTTTCTTTGTCCTTCCTTGGATGTTTTCAGTATTAAAACAAAAATATTGCTGCAGTTGTTTCATTTGCTTGGACACACCTGGAGATGCAAGCCAGCTCACATCACTCTGCTGATGAGCTCTCTGTGCCTTTATCAAAAGTTCACTGAGGAGACCATACTTCTTTGCATCTGTTCATAAACTCAGATTGCAAATATCAATCACAGGTCTCAGTGAATATCAAACCTACCCTATTTATTTACCATGTGGAATCAAACCTTTGTTTCGATGAGATGTACATTTTTGGTCAAGGAAAAACTGACAACATAATCTCTCTTTTGGCTTTCTTCTAATATCCTTCAGACATGCTTCTATTAGAATAAAGGCAAACTGGAACTTAAGGGCAAGCTTCCCTCAGTTATTTGTGCAGCATTCTAAGAAAGATACGTATTAGTGGAATGATGATTTCCTGACTTTAATCCACATACCAATGTTTTCTTAATTCTAGAACGCAAGTAATTGAGTGAGCCATTGTCTTCTGTGGAAGACTAGGGTGTTGGGTGATATTTTTATTCCAGTTCAAGTGTTACAGATTTCACTGTGAAAAAGGCCTTGAACACACTATTTATGACATCCTTTGAGGCAGCTACAGTGCCTTGACTTCAATCCCAGTTTTCTGTTGCAGCATCCCTGTTGTCTTAGCAACACAGTGAACCATTCTGAAGCACAGAGTAACACGAAACTGGGAATCAGAGAAAGTCACCTTTGCATCACATTGTGAGAGATAAAGTCTACTTTATCCATTTTTATCTTAACCCAATAATCTGTGATTAAGTGATTACAGGGAGTAGATAAAAATAGTGCATCAACATTTGTGTTGGTAAAAAGGGAAGGTGATATATATTGATGAGTTTTTATTTACCAGTTTTTTACTCATCCATTTATATTAACTAAATGCTTCCATTTAGGCTCAAAGAGTATACCTGATTATATTCTGTAGGCTGATTTTTTGGAAAGAAGGAGAAGCATGCTGAATGACTGAGGTCACGTATAGTTTTAAGGTCTTCCTTGCTTGTAGCCAGTTAAATTTGAGGTTCTTTGCTATACTTACCATTAAAGATAGAATTTGAAGGAACAAGAAGGCATTTTTAAGATCCTAGATGGTAAAGAAGTTTAACTTCTTAATATTTTAATTTTCTTTTTTATATAAGCAAGGAAATGGTATAAGCTGCTAGAACAGAAACCCCAAAATATGATGACTCATGTAAGATAGGAGTTGATTTCTTTCTTATAGAGCAATCCAGAGGTAGTTGAGAAGTCCAGGACAGGGAGGGTAGCCTCTGTTTCATAAGGTAACCAAGGGATCCAGAATCTGTCTACCTTGTTGTCCTCTCATTACCAAATGTGTTATTCTTCCCATAGTCAAAGCTGGCTCAAAGAAGCACAGCCAATTTGTAGCCTGTGAAAAGAGAGGAGTTTGGGAGCTAGCTATTTCCTTTTAAGGAAGCTCCACCCATCACTGTACTCAGAGCCCATTCGTCAATACTGACTACATAACTATACCTGGCTTCAAGGACTGCTGGAACATGTTATCTCCAGCTAGATGGACATGTGTCCTACTAAAACTCCGGGGAAAAAAAAAAAAGAGAGAGTGAATACTACAGTAAAAGACAGGAATGATGAGCAGCTGTCCATGGCCGGTGCCATGATGAACATCTGAGCAGGGATGACAAAGATCTCTTGCCCTGGCAGGATATACAGTCCTTGGTAAGACTTTGCTCTCTGGGAAGAACTCCCTTGACCACTGCCTTCTGTGGCCTCTAATTGACTTCCAGGAAATTCTTGCTCTTCAGATTACGTAGCCACGTACGAAACTTTTGGGAGGCGTCACAGGTTTTGCAGGCCCCTGCCTGCTGGTGGAGATTTGTAGACCTAGATTTCTTTAGAGACTGAACAAATGTAGATTTTTATAGTTTATAGGATTGTTGTTTAATTGACTGTTGTACGGAGTCTGGCTCCATTTTCGATGTTTGACTGATAACAACTTTTCCTTTCTGCTCCCCATTCCCTTTCCCCTTCTGTTCCACATCTGGGCAAGCTGATTAGAGAGCCTGGGTACCCCCTGCTTTGGACTGGCTGGGAAGTTCAAACCACACAAGCCCTGGCCTGCTCGCAGGAAACCTCTCCCTGCCCCACACCCTAAGAATAATAAAAGCCAAGCGAGTCAAGTCATTTTTGGATCTACTCGGGAACTGCCCCACTCTCCCAGAAAGTGTCATTCATTATGTGAATAATAAACCTTTTCATACCCTCTTGATGTGTGTGTGGTTATTAGTCTCAACACCCAAACCAAATTTTGGGTAACGGGGTCCATCTGGCCTCTGAGGGGTGCTTACAACATTGGTGATAAAATTTCATCAAAACATGGTTTTTGGTCTTTTTGCTTTCAGTTTTGTTAGTTCAGATGAAAGTATTCACAGCCAAAGGGCTACTCTCATTATATCTGCAGTTCTTAAGGTAGCAGCATCTTATTTACTGTGTCTGTGCTTGGCCCTTATCTCCAGCCCTTAATCGAGTGGCAGCCACTTTGAAGCCTTCTAGAAAAGTGGGTTTAAGTAAGAATGCAGTGTCCTTTAGCTGGTCTTTTCTGCTCAACTGACTTCCGTTGTCCAGCCAGTAGTACTTAATGGAGACTTTTGAGAAAAAGTGCATAATAATCTGCTGTTTGGAGTGTAGAAGCCGTAGGGCTACAGGGTATAGGCCCAGCTCTTGTAACAAAGCTGAGTTACCTAGTTGTAACTAGTTTTTCTTGTTTCACTATTTTTCACGGTTCCTTACTATAAAAAACATCATAGCTCTGCTTTTTTCTAACTACTTTCCCCATAGCTACATGTCTGCCTTTCAAGTTGCTAGTGCCAGTTTTACCTAATGGTTAGTCAAAGCATAACAAGGGTCTCTAGTTTTCCATCTTGCAGTATCTGTTTCCTTGCTGCCTGGCAACAATGCAAAGCCACATATTTTAGACTTTTGTTATGATGGGGATATAATTTACATTGTCTTTTTCTGAATGGTCTCATCTGATGATCTCAGCTGGTGATTCCCAGATCTATTATCTCCTGCCCTTACCTGTTTTGAGCTCTGAATGTATTTGCAATAGCTCGGATGCATTCTTTTTTTTTTTTTTTTTTAACATTTTTTTTGGAGCATAATTGCCTCACAATGGTGTGCTTGTTTTTTCTCTACCACAAAGTGAATCAGTTATATATATACATATGTTCCCATATCTCTTCCCTCTTGCGTCTCCCTCCCTCCCACCCTCCCTATCCCACCCCTCCAGGCGGTCACAAAGCACCGAGCTGATCTCCCTGTGCTATGCGGCTACTTCCCACCAGCCATCCATTTTACGTTTGGTAGTGTATACATGTCCATGCCACCCTCCCACTCCGTCACAGCTCACCGTTTCCCCTCTCTACATCCCCAAGTCCATGCTCTAGCAGGTCTGTGTCTTCACTCCCGTCTGATGCATTTTTCGGTCTCTTTCTCAAGTGTAGTGATGGGCAGACAATGCAATGACAATAAGTAATGGGACAAAATATTACCAAACAACATGGATAAGGAACTGTTTACCTGGCTCAGATAATTTGTCCTTTTGGAAAATTACTGAAATATATCAATCCATTATAACAACATTTTCCTAATATCTCAACATTCCTGATACATGCTGTGCAGTTCAGAGGTACTGTACTCTCCATGGTCCTGTCCCATGGCTTGGGCCTCTCCTTTCAGCATATTTGTAAATCTGGTTCTTATTCATCAGGTCTGAGCTTAAATATTAACTTTTCCTGGAAGCCTTCACTAAATCCTATACAAGTAGATTTCTCCTGTCATCCTCTTCCTCTTCATCCTTCTTTCTTTCTTCCTTTGTAGTACCTACTGCTGCTTATACTTACTTGTTTACTTGTCTATTATTTATCTCTCTCATTAGATGATAAGATCCATAAGAACAATGTTGATGGAATTTTTTCCCCACAACTGGCATAGTGCCTGACACATTAAGGTGCTAAATAAATGGATAAATTCTCCCCAGATCCATTATGTCCTTTGTACATACTGTTTCCACGTCCTTTCCAACAAGAAACTTATTGATCTTTTTATCCATAATGTCCACGATAGTAATAACCCCCAATTAACTCTTATTAAGTGGTTTCCATGTGCATCTAAATGCCTCATCAAACCGCTTTCTAAGTTCTTCACCAAAGCTGGGCAGAGTAAGACACTTAGCGTAGTACCCAGGGCATAATTAACCCTGGAAAAAATTAAAATTAATGAATAAACAAATATATATTGCAATTGTAGCCTTAAAATGAAAAGGCTATAAAACAGATAAGCTTACGTTTTTGTATTTAAATATCATATGCTAGCCTTTAAACAGGTGAACCGTGGAATAATCATTTGGCTGTTATCAAATTATTCTAAAAGGTAAGCAGCTTTAATACAACAAACGTTTATTTTCTCATATCGTTTCTGAAAGTTAGGAATCAG